GTGAGATATCTTAAGGGGACCATTAATATGGGAGTTACATTCAAAAAACATGGTCACTTAGATATTCAAGCCTACACAGATGCTGACTGGGCAGGGAATCCAAATGATCGAAGATCCACTTCAGGGTATTTTACCTTTGTTGGAGGTAATTTGGTCACATGGAAAAGCAAGAAACAAAAGGTAGTTGCTCTATCAAGTGCAGAAGCAGAATTCAGAGGGATCGCTCGAGGAATTACTGAAGTTCTTTGGCTAAGAAAACTCCTTAAAGATTTGGGATATCCGCCGAAGGGTAAATGTAGACTGATGTGCGATAATACCGCTGCTATTCGTATATCAGAGAATCCAGTACAACATGATCGTACCAAGCACATCGAGATTGATCGTCACTTTATCAAAGAGAAACTCTAGGCAGATATCATCAGTCTTCCATATGTCCGATCTGAAGATCAACTGGCAGACATTCTCACAAAAGCAGTACTAGCTGGACTCTTTCAAGCAACATTAAGCAAGTTAAACATCCGAAACAGATGATTCAACTTGAGGGGGAGTGTTAGAAATGTTAAACAAAGGAATAGTGTCAAACAAAGGAATAATATTGATGACTAAGATAATATCCTTGATTGAAATCAATTTACCAATCAAAGATATTTTATTATCTTCCACTTACCTTCCTTGATTGTCTAGATTATTCACTTTGTAATATTTATACTCATCATTTGATGATGAATTGAATAAGATGAATATTATGCTGTGAATTCATTCTAATATTTCTAATACCATTAGGTTTACAAGCTTGGCCTCTTGGACACCTTTCCAAGAGTGTCCATGACTAGTGTGTTTAGTTAGACTTTAGTTGAATATGTTAGGTATGGTAACAATACACAAAGATCTGAAACGAACGGACGTACTAGCGAACGAACGATTGATTATGCTCTTTGATAATTGTGATTGCTGGTTCTTCTGATATTGTATGATCATGTGTTAATGGGTGTTAATTTATGAGTTATTTCTAGCGTTAGATCCTTCCACTCTTTCTATTTTTTTTACAGGTAGGGGTCAAGGATTGGACGAAAAGCAACGTGGAGGACAGTGAATCGTGACGCTAGTGGATGACCCGAAGCTGTTTGAAATTGAATTAAAAACTTGTTGACTTTTATTTGTTAAAACTACAAGAATGTTTGACGATGTTTTTTTCAAAGGCTTCCGCAACGTTTGATTTTGTTTACTCCGATTAATTATGAATTGTTTCTAAATAAATGTGAATTGATATCTTATTATTAAATGTTTTAAAATATTATGCATGTGAATACCAAATTAGTAGCAACCCGACTCGCTAACTCGTTGGTTCGGGTTACGCGGGTTGGGGTGTTACAACTATTATAAAAAGGATAAAATTGTTGGAACACGCTTTACAATTATGTTGAACTAAAGTTGTTTGCATTTTTAATAAGTTTTGATGAAAGCCAAATCATTGTGGATATGAAGAGTTTCATTGAACAACTCAAAACGTGAAACAAGTCATGTCACAAGGCACTAGGGAATCAAGAACCAGATCAAGAGCTCCGAAGACTTAGTTGAGTTTGGTTGAGTCGGTTTTGCTATAATAAAGAACCGAAAATAAAATTCAAGTCTTGGTTCTCACAAGTTAAAAATAAACTTTACAAAATCATGAAACTACTTTTTGTGCATCAAACAAATGAATTTCACAAGTGTTTTTCAGTTGCCAAAAACCCTGGTCATTGCCCAACCAAAACCACAACCTCTGGTTTTCTGCGTTCGGCTTTCGACGTTGGTTTTTGGCGATCGAAACAATCAAGTGGTTTTTTTCTTTTTTTATCTTTGAATTTTACTTCTAGCATATTTAAAAGGTTTATGTTTTGTAGAAACACTCTTGGTGGTTGATCTTTGGTCTAAAACCATGAAAACCGACCTTCACTTGGTAAGCTGTGGTTTTTACCTTAAAGACTTGTTTTTTAACTTTTAATACTTGATTTTTACTTTATATAGTTCAAAAAAGTATTTCCAACACTTGGTTTTTTATTTGAGAAACTTTGATTTTTAACAAGGATTTTTGGCATTGGCTTTCAAATTGGGTTTTGGCCTCCGGCAAAACATCAATGTAAAACCTAGAATATCATTGTTTTGGCCAGGTCTGGTGCACTTCATTTTCGGCAGCATTTTTCTAAAAAGTGATGTTCGATCACCTATGAACATTCATGTTCACACCTGTCCGTTAGGGGTCTTTAAGACGAAATATTTTTATCTTTAAATGTCACAATCTAAAAAAGTGATGTTCACTTAAAAACATCGATGTTCTTGACCGTTGGTCATTTCAAAAGGAAAGTCAAATCCTAAAACATTGATGTTCATGGTATTTTTCAAAAGACATTTTGATATGATTTCCACAAATCATCCTAATCAACTCCAATTTTCTTCCAATCATTGCACCTTGCTTTTGGGTATAAAAGAGGGACTCTAGGTCTCCTTTAGCACATAACTCTTCATCATCTTAATATTCTTTCATTGCATTGATCACATACATTTTCCATAGCTTTCGAGAGCCTAATACTTGAAGAAGTTGTCGTGTTCTTGGGCGTTCATTAGTTAACTCAAATATATTCTAAAAGAGTGTTATGTTCTTGAATGTTTAAGTATTGTATACACTTAAATGGACGTTTGTTCCCTTGATAGTTACGAAGGAAGAGTATATTTCTTCGGGTTGAAGTATTGGAGTGCGGTATCTCCGAGCAAGCATTGTTAAGACTCGTGTGATTTGAGTTTCCATGTTGTATCAGTTTCTTAAGTATGTTTAAGCTTAACAAAGTTAGTAGAACCTTTAAGACAGTTTCTCGAAGAACTGGATTAGTCACAAGTTATGGTGAACCAGCATAAATACGATGTGCTCTCCTTACTCTTTTTCACTTCATTTTTATTTCCTACGCTTTTGTTAAAACGCTATTCAACCCCCGGCCCTATAACATTAAGCCTTTATTCTAACAACCATGCGCTCGGTATAAATGGCTAACTAGCGGTGCTATGTTTTACTTCATGTATGTCTACACTTCTTACCCATCAGGCATGATTTTTACTACAGAGACTAGTTGAACTCTACATAAGAGAAATGGCCAGATTGGACAGAGTGCCTTTGTCTATTATGTCAGATCGTGATCTGTGATTCATGCCTCAGTTCTGAATGAATGTTCAGATAGCTATGGCCTCTAAGCTCGACTTGAATGCGATGTTTCACCTTAAGATAGATGGTAAAAGGTGATTTAAATTTTGAAAGACGTGATTAAGGTCCATTTGGTATACAGAATTGATGGAATTGGAGTTGAATTGAAATTGAAATTCCATGGGATTCAATTCCATAGAATTGAATTCACTAATTTCAATTCATTTTTTGCATTACCAATTCCAAATCCACATAATTTTTGTACAACCAAACATCAGAATTGGAATTGAAGTCTTCAATTCCAATTTCATAGTTTGAATTCCGTGAACCAAACAGGGCTTAGAGTTTGTGTTATCGATTTCGAAAAGAGCTAGGAGCGACACTATATACTCCCTATTTTGTATGGTCAATATTTAGATAAAAAGCATTTGTTAATTTTATGGGGTGAACTTCACTATTTGTTAATTTCTCAATGGCAATTGGCAAAACCACCTTCTTATGTGTCTCCAATCCAATGCCTAATTTATTATGTCTAAACAAACTACCCCAAGGTTGTTTATCGTTACCAGACTAGGATAGAGAATAAAGAAAAGTAACTAAAACATTGGGGTTAAAAAATATAGACAAAAGTAACTAAAATATAGTGGTCAAGTATCATCACACGAGTGTTATTTGAGTTTCCTCATCATACCATGCATATGCTCAGAATTGTGATGGCATGGAAGGGAATGAATGGGAAAATGGGATTTTGGCTTGGAAGATGTGAATGGAATCATAAGAATGGGATTGTGGAGGCGGCTAACTCTGCAAGCAGCCATGTCAATTCAGTACACAGGAACAAGTTAGAGCTTGTGTGGCTTCACAATCTTTCTCTAATGGCGTGTTTCTAACTTCGATTTTTCAAAACTGAACCCGAGACCACACTTGCCCAGCAAAAATGATGTGTCAACCTGTTAAACATTGCATACGTTTTGGATAGCATGTTTATAACACGATGCTCAAAATATATTTCAGATCAAAATCTAACCCAAACCTTAAATTGGAATATGTTTGCATAAACTTCAAACCTTTAGCCACTAAAACTCAGATCCATATTATTTTTCTATCCTCGGACCTATGGTCTACCATATCTAATGAGTCTCCATGCTCATAAGACTTGATACAAAATGTCAAAATGCATCTAGCACGTAAAATCAACTTATGGATGATGGAATTCCATCTAACCCAAGGTTCAGGAGAAACTACACTACACTACTGCAACTACATTTAAATATAGAATGGCCAATTTCTTCATAGCTCAAGAGTCTCGTAAAAGAGTAAATTCTACATCCAGATGTTTCTACTTCAAAGAAAGTAATGATCCTTCCATCCCATAGTGTTGAGTTATCTCATACCACATCAGCACTCTACACCTATTAGGGTGTTTCACATAGAAAGAGTCTCATTTCACAGATGTACACTTTCTAATTTTAATAAGGTGGACCTAGTAAAATCATAAATATCGCAAAAGTAATTCTCAATGGCAATTGGCAAAACCGCCCTCTTATGTGTCTCCAACCCAATGCCTAATTTATTTATGTCTAAACAAACTACCCCAAGGTTGTTTATCGTTACCAGACTGGGCTAGAGAATAGACAAAAGTAACTAAAATATTGGGGATAAAAAATACAGACAAAAGTAACTAAAATATAGTGGTCAAGTATCACACGAGTTACCTCATCATACCACGCATATGCTCAAGATCAAGTGAACAAGGAAGAATATTATTTGATAGTCACATGACAATGATAAAACTTACAAAGACGGCTAGGAGTTATAAAACAAAAAATTACATTGCTGCTATCATTACAAAACAACTACTGAAGCTTACAGCAAAATAAATTACGAAAAAAGTGAAAGTAGCATAAAATAAGCTTTAGATGCGGGCAATTCGTGTCCTCGTCTCTTTACGCTCTTCTTCTTTGTCCGTTTGCTTTTGCTTCTTCTGTGTTGGTTTTATGTTCTGCGCCTTCTTTGATGCATGCTCGAGCTCGGAGAGTCTTGAAAATACTCTCCCCAATTTTGAGTACGTAAGGTCTCCGTACACATATGGCCCAGCCCTACTTTTTGTAAGCTTCTACAGGTTTTGCTGTTGTTGTCGCGGGAGACAAGGAGACCAAGCTATCAACATGGGGATGGCAACGCCACTTGTACATGCAAGCAGGGTATTCCTTATCATCTGGTTGATATGAAGCAACAATTCTTCCCATTTTGACATGATATACAATAATTTCACTTGACTCCTCAAACACCAGTAGCTCTCCATTTCCAAGGGAACCAATAGGCATGCGGTGGTATCTCAATCGTGAAGAAGCGACGAAATTAATGTCGGGTAACTTCTCCCATCGCCCCGTTTTGGGATCAATCAACAACCAAGTCTTAATCAAATACGAATTAACCTTCACCATCATGGAAAGAGATCCCCACTTAGCTAAAAACTTCCTGGGATCCCTCCAATCACTTGTGGGGAAGGAAATTGACCAAAGAGTTTCAATTTCAATGTCAAATACAACAATAGACATCCCTTGAGGATCACAAAAATAATACATAAAGCGCCCAATACATAATGGAGGGAAACGGAAATAACATGTGTGCAAACCTAAGTGACTGGCATCAATACGTCTCCATTTCTTTTTCTCGACACCACCTAAGGTTAATATTGCAAATCGAGGGGTAGCATTATATGCATAGCTTATAAGCTGTGCAATCTTATATACCCTCGAAACAGGAGAATAAGCCAAGAAATGGTTAGTGTCTGGTCTACAAGTTCTGAATTTGTAAAAAGGTAAAACAACCTGCTGCCCCGTGACTGGATTTAGAACACAAGGCTCAAATGCCTCATGCTTTGGAAAGTAAAGTAAGCCGTTACAGCTAGACATAACAACGCCGTGAGGCACAAAACCTAGCCGCTTAAATTCAATTGTGCCAGTGTTGGTAGTCCTAAGAAAATACCCTGACTTAGGAGTGTGATAGAAACTGGACTGGAGAAAGAGGCAGGTATTAGACGATGATGAGTTGTGGAGGTGGGAATGAGCAAAACTCGGGCTGCGGATTATATTATACCACCCTCGACAAACATACCTCACTACATGATAGATGAAATCCACAGGAAGGAGAAGAAGGATAGCAAAAATGACTTCTTGCGGCAAAATATCAGCAATACAGCTCATCTTTATGGCCTTCCTCCGAGCCTTGCACCAGCCAATCTTTCGATTGTTGTTTACAGTTACAGGGTCCACTACGGCCATCTGTAAGCAGCAAAAACTACATTATTGACATTATAAAACCTCGGACATGAGATTCATTATTATTAGTGTTATAATTACTCCATTTAGGAGACATTTACGCTATAACTTCAAGAAATTCTCTATTCTGCGCAAATAATCCCAAGTTTAATGAATGAAACCATAGAGTGACTCTCAAATCTCATCCCTAAAGCAAAACTAATTTTTTCCCCTACAATTTTTTTTTCTTTCTAGTTCTATCAACTTAGACAAAAATTGTTTAAATTAAAAAACAATTTTTTAAAGTATATGCTGTATAGTATACTTTTCAGTTGTCATTAATTATCATCCCGAAACGACAAATCACAAATTGAAATGCAACTCATGAAAACAAGACAGTAACAATTTTTTCTAGGAATCACCAAACTGGATAGCAATTCTAGTTCATACATTAAACTTTGATTTCAAAAAGTAAGTTAAAAGCAACATTTTTAAAAAAAATTACTGAATTTTTAGTAGGGAAAAAAGTACTCCGTATTTGGCTTTAGGCGTTTCTCCGAATAACATTGAATCATTCTAGGCTTTAGGCTTTTATTTTCAGATTAAAAAAATAAGAATTTGTGTGGATTAGAATTCGGGGAGTAATTTCATGAAAATATTGGAGCGATGGTGTGATTTATATCAGAGTAAAACAGATGAACTGTTAGAGTAATGACATGCATTTTTCTTATCATTAATGAATTTCTTTGTGAAAAATTCAAGTTCTGTAATGCTATGTTTGGGAACATGGATTTGGATTTCAAATCCGGATTTGGCTTAAATTCCATGTTTGGGAAACTTAAGCATTTTGAATTTGGATTTGAATCAAATTCTTTACATTCAAAACAAAGCTTAATTTGAAATCTATGCACCTCCCTTGGTCATTTGAAATTCGGGATTTCAAATTTTGGAATTGAAATTATGAAATGCTAATTGCCAAACACTACCTAAAAGAATTGAGCATAATAAGATCTGCTCTAGGGAAGATGGTGTGAATAGAAGAAGACTTAGCAGTGGGAATAAGATCTGCTCTAGGGTTTGTTATTTATCACGGAGTAAAAAAATAATCGCAATTTGAAGAAAATAGGAGAGGGGAGAAATTGTACCTCTCCTTCTTCGCTGGGTGCTGTTGTCTTTCTGTCTTTTTCAATTTTCCGTTTGCGAAGAACCGGAGCCATGGTCAGATTCAGATTCCGGCGGGGGACTGAACACAGAGTGAGTGAGAGACAGAGAGATGAGACTCAGTGAAGTGCCAAACTTCACTTTCTCACATTTCGTTTCAAATTTGAATGTTAGGGAACAGTTGACCAAAACACGGGCGTCGGGAAAAATTTATGAAATGTTGACCCCTTTAAACTAAATTAGTTTTATCTTTTGAAAAAAGTATTTTTTTTATTTAAAACACTAATGTTAATAAAAAAATGTCCTTCTCAACCAGAGCTGCTATGTGCATTAAACTCATTATATTTATGGAAATAATTCCACATTAAATGTGTTATGTGGAAATATTTTATGAAAATATTTTGTGGGTTATAGATAATCAATTTTACAATCAATCGAATATGCACCAATTAAATTAGTGTAATAATCTTACACCAAATATTTAATGTAATACGTAGTATTTATTAAAATAAATAATATGCACTTTAATCTTCCTTGCTCCTCTATTCCAATATCTTGTTAGATTGTGCTCTGTTCACCTGATCTGATATGATTGAATCTGAACTGGTCTGGTCAGATATGATCTGTAAAAATTTGATATGATATAAATCTGATTTAAATTGAAAATTAAAATTATTTTTTAAAACATTTATAATAATAATAATATAATTAATAATAATAGTACAAAAGTAATAATAAGCATAGTAATCGTAATAAATAAAGTAATAATTATATCAATAATTATAATTATAATCATAATATAATACTCATAGTAATAATAATGATATTATTATTATTATAAATCAAAATAATAAAAATAGTAATAATAATAATAATATTAATAGTAATTCGGAGTAATAAGAGTCATAATAATAACAATAGTAATAATCTTTATAACCATAATAATAGTGATAGTAATATTAGTAGTAATAATAATACTAATATTAATAGTAATAGTAATAATAATAATAGTAATAATCTTTGTAACACTCTAATCCGTCCAGGTTTGCACCCCTTTTGGACTAAAATATAAACTTGGTATTCGTAAAATATTTAAAATATTTCAAACATTTAAAACGTTATTTCATAATATTTGTAATACATTGGAATAGTAACAGAGTGTTTAAAGTTGCGGAAGCTCAATAAATCACAATTACAATCACAACAAATATATGTCATTTTCAAACAATAATCCACACATCCATTCCGACCATCTCACTCCATCTGTCTCTAGAAAATCATCGATTCATTCTTTTTGTTTACCTGCGTGTAGCAAATAAACATACTACACGCTCAGCGTTTAAGCTGAGTAAGCATATATAGTGCGTCAAACATCCATATAAATTGAATCTCAATTCATAATCAAATCATTTGATATCATGCACATAATATTACTTCAGATATTCAATAGTCAATATTCAGTATTCATCATTTATTATCCAATATTAATATTCATATTCAACATTCATCATTTATATATTCAACATTTCTCAGTCATTGATACTATTCACAATATTCTTTTCAAGTCATTTACCATTCATGATATTCACAATATTCAATTTAAATCGTTTCATGATATATGGAACATTTCACATTCAGTATTTCAACAGTGCTCTTAAATTATTTTTAATCTAAGGCACTAATTTTAACCAACTCTTAAATGAATTCTAGCTCAGCCTTTAGCTGGGAAACCTCCTCTTCCAGATAGTCAGTTTGCCTGGGCTTCTCCTCTAGCTCGACGATCTTCCTTTAAGCCTGTTCGTCCGACTCCTTGGCAGACTTGAGCAAGCCCTCATGCTTGGCGAACAGGCCCCAGTAGGTTTCGGCATGTTCTACTAGCTTCTATGTCATCTTCTCAGCCGCCATTCGGCATGCCTCTGCATTCTTCCGGGCGGCGACCATCATGGCCTCCATCCGAAGCTTCTCGTCCGTCTCGGACTTGACCAGCCGGGTGGCCCACTCTTGCCTGATCTGACCGACCTACTGTAACGCCCTGAAAACCGGTCTAAAAATTTTAACTTTCTAGTACAAAGAAAAAAATATAATAATAAATTTATGTTTTAAAAAAATATAATAAAGTAATATGTTATTATTTTTTTGGAAAAAAATATATTAAAAGTTAAGCTTTAATGAGTGAATTAATAGATAGGATAAATAAAAGGAGTAAAGTGAACTTTGGTCCTCTCTACTACCTAAATAAAATGATTCTGATAAAGTAATTTATTTTCTTGAGAAACAAATTATGTTAAAATAATGTGTGGGAAATATGGGACTTAACGGTATAAGTTTTATTTTTTTTCCAAAAATATATAATAATCAAAACTGTGGAAATCGATCACGTAGTATTAAACCAACGGAGCAAGAAAACTTGTTTCTCACGCCACCCACATTGTTTTCTTCACTCATTTAATTGTTTCTATTTCCCCACATGTTTAACTCTTTATCTCCCTCCACCATTCTACACACTTCCATCCCTTAGTATAAATACTAGCTAGTCATGGAGGGACAAGGTAAAAAAAACAAATAATAATAATAAAAAAACAGATATAGATAGGAGGGTTGCTTCGGGGAGGAGAAGCAGGAAGGTGTCATCTTGTTGCCTCGTCGAAACTGTGGACTTACGAGGTGTGCCGTTGACCCTAACCTTTAGATATATATTTCATGTTAATATATTTTTGTGCACTTTCCTTTCATTTAATTAAACCTGAATTTACTCTTTTAGATAATAAATTAAAAGAGAAAGATAAGAATCATAATAATCAAAAATATATTATCATTATTATTATTGTTGTTATTATTATCATTAGTACTTTTTTTATATAAAAAAATATTATCATAACCGAAGGTAAGGAAAAATGATTGGTTGTTATAATGATTAATATATACGGCGGCAGTAGTGGAATTCATGGAAAAACAGAGCATATCAATTCACGTATACATAGTATATGTATGTTAATATACTTTTAACCAAATAAATATGTTTGAATGATTTGTGAATAAGTACGGTTAATTTGTTTTTTTAATCCAAAGGGTAAAAAATCTAACACAGATGTGTAGCTCTGCAGTCTGCACATTAATACATACACACAAGTACATGGACATGACAGAACTTAACCTTTTGGTACATAACACTTTTTCGGTTCTGTATATTATTATTAATATTACTATTATTAGTATTACCATTTTATTATTTTAAGAAATATGTGTTTTATATGGAACCGAATGCAAGCATGATTAAGTAAATAAGTTTGTTGTGTTTTTGTCCTAGATGTTATAAAGAGTGATGTTTGGTCAACAAATATGTGGGTATGAACTAATACACCTTCGAGGCCTAAGTAGGCAGTAAGGACTTATTGGCCATGCAACAGTAAAATATTTTGAAAGAAGGAGATGTGGTTCGAGTAATTTTTTTTTCCAAAATGATTTATGCTTGGAGGCATAAAAAGTGATTTATTTAAATGACATACTAGAGTTAACCAAAATAGCTAGTGGACGAAGTAAAAGCTTCAGAGTTAAAATAACGACATACCCTGACCAGGTATTGTCACGTTTACCAAGTGGTTTAACCACACGTTATAAGGCTGGATCGTATGTATCCAAGTGGATGAGCCTACAAATAATCATACCACAACGTGCGCACGAGAACCCAACAATGACCCCGTGGGTCTAGGGTTCACTTCTGATTACTGGACCCGAGGTCACGGGGAGGTATCCGAAGTAAAACTACGAATCGACTAGTGCGGTTTTCCAGCCTAGTCACGGCTTAGTCTCTAGTAAAGGGTTAACCTAGTAGGTCAAGTGTTTTCTAAATAACTTTTCAAAGTAAGATTATTTACTTAATGATTTTAATTATGCAAAAAGCTCATAAAACATAAATAACTTAAAATGCCCTAAAATATATTTACATGTAATATATGTCTATTGTTTATTTGCCACTCAGCTTTGCTGAGCGTGTAGTATTTAACTGCACGCAAGTACTAGCAAGGAAAACAACTGCTGAGGAGAAAAGCTTGGACGTGGAGGCCGTACCAAAGGAATTCTTATTTGATATTCAATAATGAATAAAACGTCGAACTAAATTTTACTTTGTTTTTGGGCTTGAACCCAAGGTTCTATTAACTGTGGATGTTTTTACTTTAAGTTTACGCGGAAAACGTTTTTTTTAAATTCTATTTAGCTAACGAAAAGAGTATATTTTGGAAAAATTATAATTTACAAAGTAACCCGGTTTTACTAGCACTCTGGTCTGGATGACTCGGGTCACCCAGGGTGGGGTGTTACATTTTTTATTTGTAACACCCCAGCCCCCACCCTGGCTGTAAGTGTCCGCTCATAAGATTGTAGACTGGCCCCACAAACCAACACACGTCTTTCCCGCGCACTTTGTCCTCACTCGTGCGCGCCCAAGGAATTTCCCAGGGTCACCCATCCTAAAATTATTCCAGGTCAAGCACGCTTAACCTTGGAGTTTTTAGGTGATGAGCTCTCGGAAAGAAGACGCACCTTATTGGTATGAATAGTACTATCAATCCTTTTGAGCTCTTCTCATTCCCATCTTGATACGAGGTATTACACCTACTTAGAAAAGAGATTTGCAGAGAAGTTTGGAAAAAGAGAATTGAAAGGAATTAAAAAGGTAGAATTGATGCTTACCTCGCTCAGATCGGCGCAGAAGGCATCGAATAGCTCAGCATTTGACCAGGACATCAGGGCCATGTCTTTGGGCTCGGCCTTGCCCTTGTCGGCATCAAATTTTTTGATCTGATCTGATTTTTTACAATAGTGAAATATATATATATATATATATATATATATATATATATATATATATATATATTACAACTTATTTTAGTTTATTACTTCACGAAAAAATCATTATATAAATTTAATCACAAATGCATATTTACTAATCAAATACTTCGTTGCAAAAATAATATCTTATTACATCATTTATTTTATTGCTATATATATATTTTTCAGCAAAGTAAATAGAATAAAATTGGTTTAATCGAAGGGTGACAAGTGACATTATGATACATATACGTTCTCTAATGATGTATCAGTATGTAATTAATACATTTTTATTATAATATTTTATAATCTAAAACCATTTCTAATAGTACTTAATTCAATGGTCATTAATTTTGTATAGTTTTTTGTTTTATAAATTAACATACAAATGTATACTTCGCAAGTTTAAAACAGATTTTGTCACTATTAGAAAAACTAAAATAACTAACATTATACTTATAGAATCTCAAAAATTTAGAATATATACGAGCACGTGCAAAGCACAGGATCAACACATAGTACTCGGTATATTTTAGTTTGTTTTTATTAGGATATGAATGGATTAGTTGATAACGATACAAGACCCATGCCATGTTTTCTTCAACTTTTTTTTATTTAGATTTTTTATTGAAATCAAATTAGATAAAAATAGCTTTAAATATAACTATATTCATATCAAACCAAATCAGGTAAAAAATTATTTCAATCCATAGGCCTCAACCCATCATATATGGTACATCCGGATGTACATAGAGATACGTACATCCCGATAGTATTTATTTCGAAATAAAATAATGTAGTATCCATTCTTAAATAATACAGTACTTATTCTAAAATAACACAATACTTATTCTGAAATAACATACTACTTATTTATTTATTCAGTATACTAAGAGAAGCTTGGAATAATTGAATGTATAGAGAGAGGGCACAGAGCACATACTTTCTGTAGAGTTTTAATTGCGCAACCTCACCATCACAAAGCACCGAGAGTACGCTTCTGCGAAAGATGATTTGGTTAGAAAAACTCGAAAGAGAAGGGATCTCAAATTTCTCAGATCGTTTACGGCATAGTTTTAAAAACCGGATTGAAGACCGAACCGGTCAAGTTACTGGTTCACTGGTCCGACCAGTGGTTCAAGTGGTCAAACCAGTGGTTCACGCATATTTAAAAATTTAATACACACACACACACACGCACACGCACACACACACACACACTTACACACATGAAAATTAATATGTATTGAAATAATACTTCCTTTATCTATAAATAAAGAATTTATGATGTATTCATAAATTTATAAGCAATTTACTACCTCCGTCCCGCTATATTCGTCCACTTTTGACTTTTGAAACTATTCATTTAAGTACTTTGACTCATCAAATTCTCTCAATGTGTAAGCCTAAATCTTGTTTGATTTGTCTTAACATATAGATTATTAATATATAATTTCTATAATTTTTTTAATATACAAATTACAAAATAAAATGGATTAAAAAAGTGTATTGGATGGTGTGTAAAAATGAAAGTGGACAAATACTCTGGAACGGAGGGAGTAATTATTTAAGTTAGTAGCATTAAATCGAAACAAAATGGATATTTAAACAAATAAAAAATTATAAAATAAGAGGTGATATGTTTTGTTTTATAATTTACACAATATTTTTAAAACATTTAAATGAGTTAATAATTTTGTGATATGAATTTCATATTAGAATCAATTGCATCATTATTTTAGGAATGTAATATATAACTAGTAATGTATACTTGTATATTTTTAGAAATGTAATACTCCCTCTGTCCTAAAACTATCATCTCACTTCTCTTTTTTCTCCGTCCTAAAACTACATTCCTATTAGAAAAAAAAGATGGCAAATGACATTAATACCCTCATGTATTTACACCAATTATCTTCTAACTCTATATTTTCAATGATTGCAAAAAAATTTCAAAAAATCTTTTTTAAGGGGGTAAAATTTGAAGATAATGGCAAAAAAAAATCTCAAAAAAAATTTATTGTTACTACTAGTTTTATAGATCTTTTGATGTAGTATTTTGATATGTAATTTTCGTTTTTTAAGTCTATACCACTTGTCATATAAAATGATTTGAAAATAATTTCAGTCAAACATCGTAAATCGAAACAGGCACTATAAATTGGGACGAAGGAAATATTATTATTATTTTTTTGAATTTACTTGCCATGATCAAGTGGTAGGGGACATTTGGAGTTAAATCTCGCATCTCTACTGTCGTTAATAATGTGGCGTGTATGATGGATATCCCCTTTAAACTCTCAAGATCTTTTTAGTCTTTTTTTGATGGAAGATTTGATTTCATTTACTGCTCCCTTAAAAATTGTTATTTTTAAATACCGTAGAATATAAGAAAAGTATTTAAAACTCAAATATACGTAGTAGATTTGATAAAAAATGACCCGATTTGTTTTTGCCCCAAAATTTTAATTATATTGCATATATCTTATTTTTTCAAAATTTAAGCATTTTTTAAATTCTTTATATTGATTTATATATCTAAAAATAACTTTAGAATTTAAAATAAAATAATCTAATAGATTTAATATTTTTTTTTGATATTTTAAAATTATTAAATAGAAAATGTTAGTGTTAATGTAAATTTAAAAATTTAAAAAAACCAAAGTCATAACCCGTTGGGTCGACCTGAACCCGATGACACTGTGCCATGAACATACAGTTCTTAACCCAAACTCGAATTGACCCGAATTCGAAATAATCCCAACTCGAAGTAACCGAATCCGAACCCAACATGACCGACCGATTTGCCAACTCTACTAAAATATGCTTACGTATATGATTAAAAATTTGTTAAGATGTAAGATATTACTCCCTATTATGATATTCCCCCATCTTAATTTATTTGTCCATGTTTGATTTTGCATTAACTTTGACCTTATATTGTGAATAAAATATAAATTTATTATAATGTACGGAGTAAATTTAATGTATCAATTTTTTTTGAGTAATGCTAGGGGTATACCAAAAAGTGTACCCCAAATGTACATCACCCATTTTTCACCATATATTTTTATTTGATTTTTATTTATTTTTTATTTATTTTTTATTTACTTTTTTTAGTGGATAAGTAGGGGATGGGGACATACGAGTACACCTTTGTTATACCCTTTCCATTTTTCATTTTTTTAGGCTCAAGTTATGAAGCATAAGTGCGGGTGCAGACTGGTGCGGGGGTACGGAGATTTTTTAAAAAATAGGGTGCGGTGCAGGTGCGGCAATGAGTGCGGGGAATTTCTTTATACCCGAGTATAATTTTTTAATTATATTAATATTTATTTGTAAAATACATGCATTTATGTTCAAAATATTCTAAAAAGAGAACAATTATCTTAATTTTAAATAAACAAAACACATCACATCCAAAATTAGGCCCTAACAGGCCCATATTAGGAAACCCTAGGCTTATTGTCCTAACTCCAGCCATCTACTCCGTATTTTTTCCTGATTCTCGGCCGCCTCCTCACCGTAAACGCTTCTTTTCCTTCGATTCACTGTCAGCGATAATGATTGGCGACGACGAATCCAACCGGAGGGCTTGAACTCCGGCGGAGACCCCTTCGGCGACGACGGCGACTCCTCTCGTGATTTCCGAATTAAATCTCAACATCTGAGGGCCTTAACTCTGGCGGATTCACTGTTTCTTCTTCTCTCTCGGCGATGCAGCAGTGTGTAGTGCGTGTAAATTTGCGTTGAGCTGGTTAGCTAAATCTGTGTTCCTTCTCTCTGTGCGACTTCTATTTCTCTATGAATTTTGTTGGTGACTTTGTTGGTGTGGCATTACGTTTATCATTCGTAATTGTTCTATAATTTTGTAATTGTTTTGTAGTGCGTGAACTCTGTTGATCGAAGGGACCCACTTGCGATGGATAATGAGGGGTGTAATACCCACTTGCGCTTGGTGTTAGTTGGGAATCATGTAGTGACTTTTCAGAATGATATGTTTAGAAGGAAGGATGTTGGTAGCAAGATAATCATTGATTGCCTGAACCACCAAAAAGCCAAAATTACAGTTCAAGGTAAGATTTCTTTGAAATCCTCTGTCTTTGGTGTCACATAAATATGTGTTTAGTAATTCATCTATTGCCATGGATTCTACAGTGCAGGGTGATGAAGATCAGTCAACTGACACAGAGGTGGCACATGAGGAGAGTTTTACTAATGTGAATGATTTCATTTCTCAAGAGCCAGGCATACCTTTTCGTGATGTGGAGAGCCCTCCTAGAATGGATGTTCCGAATGATGAGATTCCCACCTTCAATGTAACTACACATCACGAGGAAACTCAGAACTCTAACCTGAATGATCATTCCGGAGGCCAGCAACATAACCAGGGCAACAGTGGCGAGCATCACCGGAACCTACACAATGAGGAAGGCGACATGAATGCGCATATGAGGAGGCCACGAGCTCAGCCTGGTAGAAGTGCCAAAGTTAGAGCTCAAGCTTCTTTGAAGGATTTGGCAAAGAACAGTAAGGGGTCAAAAACAAGCCGTAGATCAAGAATAAGGACGACGTTGGTCAGGAAGAATAACGTAACACCTAGCAGGCAACCAGCCAACGATGTCGGGCCTTCTGAATTCACTCCTTTTAGTGGACGGTCGCATACACAGAGAGACTGCCAATAGGGATTCCCAAAACAACGAAGGTTTTGATATGCATTCTGGAAGTCATAACACGAGAAGCAACCCCAATATCGAAAAGTCCACAGGTTCTGAGCCATCTTCAACCAATCTTTTGTTATTAGAGTTTCTATGTTGTTTATATACGGAGGTTAGGACTTCCCGGGCATGGCGATGCTATTTCAATGGGTGGACTGATATCTGCGTTTCGAGATTTTCTTCATGAGCATATGCCGCATCTCTCTGGAGTTTTGGATTTGGTCGGCCCGGAGGCACTTCAGCGTGCGTTGGTGGCAAATTTGAGAAGCATTTTGTTGAATTATAAGATGGATGTTGATATAGCTGAGGGTAATCTGCATTTCACTGCAGATAAATGAGGTACTTTGCTTGTTCCATATATGTTACTGCATTGGGAAAACTTTCTGCCTTTTGATCGTATTTCTATTTTAATTTTCTATGATTTAGATTAGGTATCTTTTCCCTGGCAACTAGCCTTTTCCTCTGTAATGAAACTTCTCTTACTCTTGCATCTTACTTATCTGTATAATGGATATCCCCTCTTAACTCTAAGATCTTTTTAATCGTTTTTTGAGGAAGATTTGATTTCATTTATTGCTCCGGAAAAACAATGTTATTTTTAAATCCTATAGAATATAAAAAAGTATTTAGAACTAAAATATCCACCCTTATTTTATAAGAGCCTATAATGTTAAGCTCTGTTATTTTAGTCATATTTTCGTTTTGCTCCGTCTTCTTCCCACCGCCGCCCAAGATAACCTTATCTCATCATTCTTATTTCATTCTCTCGACCAGTTCGCCTCTTCTTTGGCCAGGTAAAATCGTCCCAATTTTATATCATGGATTTGCTCATTGGAATTTCTTCTTCAACTTCTTGTTCTTCAATTTCTGCAAATTCTGCAGATTTAGTAAGAACACCATATTCATCTGCAGTTTCTTCTCTGTCATCTCCTCCGGCTTCTCCTCTGTCATCTGTGGAAGAAAGATGATTTTTCAATGTATAATTCTAAGCTTTTCTCTGTAAATTAGTTGGAAAACAATGGATGAGGATAAACCCTTCATTCTTTTTGTAACCATTGTCTTTTTATTACTCGTATTATTAATTAATTAAATAAATAATTAATTTTTTAAAACCTTATTCTACCCCTTTTTCTTTCAACAATAACTCATGGTAAAACCAAAGTAACTCCACAAACGAAGATTCCTTATCTTTCCACCATTGAAGTCATCAAACTTAATACTTCCTTCGGTTTTTTAAGTCATTTTATTTACAAGTTGATATATTAATAAGAAATAAAAAATGGTTCTGGAGTCTTGACTTTTGATTATCCCCCACCCACACTCTCTTTCTTGTTATTAGTTTTCACCGATTTCTCTATTTCTAATCGTCATATGATATTGCTTTCCCCTTCATTAATCTATTTTTTGTGATAACTATTAGCAAAAGTATGACCATCATATGTGGCGTGCACCTTCTTTTTAATTGCAGGCGTGAAGATAATGCAACTTCAATTTGCCTTGAATCTATGTCTTAAATATATGCTGCATTTTTATCAATTTATGTATTCTGTTACTTCTTTTCGTTTATTATGAATATTATCATTCTTGTGAGTTTAATATCAACATTTTGTCTCTAATTTGATTTAATGTGCTAACAATTTCTCTTTTCTGCTGTTAATTGAATACTACAAATTTCTAAGCTTATTAGACACACATAATATCATGTATACTTAAAATTTTGTGCTTGATCTATAAATTTTATTCTTCCAAATTTGATGACTTTTGAACATGGTAAAAAGGTTAGCCTGTAAGTTATTTATCTTTTTTCCCTTGTTTGTGTTGACTAATTCTGTTTATTGTAATTTGTTTTTAGATCAATGTATGCCCCTGGATGAGTTAGTTGGTCATTTGAATTTCAGGAGGTTAGTCTCTAAGCCCATTATATTTTCCGTCATTTATTTCGGAAAACTCACATGTTATAGGCATGTGTTTCTGTAATTGGCTGCTTGATTTACAAGCAAATATGGTTAGAGGATTATTCTTTGTTCTTCAATATTTGTTATATAGACATGTATTCACACCGCTGACAAGTTCCTTTTTGGCTGAAAATTTGAAAATTTAAGTTTTAATCAAATGATTGATTTGTATTTTCAAACCTAAGAACTTTAAACCAGACTTTAAATGGAGAGGGTCGGAATGGTGTTAGCTACTCCCGAGTACTTGTGATTAACATTCCCATTAATGGAGAGGGTCTACGAATTGAATTAATGTTTGACTCTAAGTGAACTATTTCTTTTGAAAATTTGCTGCCCTGTATATTGTTTCAATATCATTTCTTGTGATTGCTTCAAATTCCAACATCATGCTTATAATATTTTAGGCACCACCACTGCTTATTTTCACTCAGGATATATATTACGAGTACTCCATATATTTTGAATTTGTAATATGCAGGACTACTTGGTGTGTATTCGATTTGGTTTCTTCTTTGTTTTGATTATAATTTTCTTTGTTTAGACATATACTTGTCTGCACATATTTACACTTGACTTTTCCCTTTTGGTGTTGTAGGTTTGATAGAAAAAACAAATCCAATGGGACTGTTTGTTTTATTTTTGTCAGGGGCTAGCTCTATAGCAATAACATTAGTGGGAGAGATTCCATCTGCTCTTGAAATCTGCATCACATAGTATATATCACTACGTAGAAAATAGAAGCTGTTTTGTGCCTCTTCTGTAAACACCAAACACTACCTCTTGAAGGGGTGTGTAAGAGCTATTGTTAAGGACTTGTCTTTTCTCTTGGGCCCTACACGCACTAAGTGCGTCTTAAGCTAGTACTCACGTATATGATTAAAAATTTGTTAAGATGTAAGATATTACTTCATACTTCCTATTATGATATTCCTTCCCTCTAAAATTATTTGTCCCTGTTTGACTTTTGTATTAACTTTGACCTCAAATTCTGAGTAAAATATAAATTTATTATAATCTAAATTTAATGTATTATTTTTTTTTACTTTTAATTATTTATAATTATATTTAATTTATGGTTAAAGTTATTATAAAAATTGAACTATGAAATTGTTTTTAGGGAGTATACAGAGTTGACATTTCAAACACTTGTAAAGATGAATTACTTCTGTCCTGCAACTTTGCTTAATTATTTTTGTTTTTTATTTAAATTACTCATTTGCATAATCAGTATCCAATAATATCATAATTCATAAGTTATGTTTTTTTTATTTATACACTTTGGCCCCGTTTGGCATCAGCGTCAGAGATTAGCGTTAGCGTTTTGAAAAAGCTATCCGACGGTAGCCTTTAGCGTTAGTGTTTTCAGAATTAATCTGCACCGTTAAAATTTTATCCAAAACGCTAACGCTAATCGAAAATGCTGTTACCAAACACAGCTTTTATTCAGTTATTGAGATAGTCTTCCCATCGCCCGGGGGAGGCAAGAGACTCTGAGAATGACATGAAGTGTCTTAAAGTGACTACACGCTGTCTCAATACTAATCCTAAACGTCACAATGTTATACTCCCGTACTCCCTCCGTCTCACTGTCTTTGTCCACTTACTTTTTGGTACACCATCCAATGCACTTCTTTAATCCATTTTATCTTATAATTTGTATATTAAAAAATCACACATGACTATTTTTAGGCTTACACATTGAGAGAATTTGATGAGTCAAAGTATTTAGATGAACAGTTCTAAAAGTCAAAACTGGACAAAGACAATGAGACGGAAGTAGTATATACTTACTGCACATATGCTTGCAAGGTTTGAAACCCCAGTAAGGGACATGATGCCAAAGGAAGATACTCCCTCTGTCCCATTTGTATCTTTTTGGATTGTGTTACGATTCTTGGTTAATTTTATTTTTAATTTAATTTATCTAATTGTAGTTATAAAATTTAAAAATAAAACTCATATATTTAAAATCATTAAAAGATATATAGAATTAGATGTGACATGAATTTTTTATTTCATCAAATTAGTAACTAAAATAAGAAAATAAAGTGTATAAAGTTTGAGTGATAATGTACGTAAAAGATTCAAGTGAATCAATGGGAGTACATTGTAACCATACAAAGTGGGAGTGGGATTAAATATGATCGATTGATTGGGGTCGTGACTCCCTAAAGGAATAGAAGAGGTCACTTAGGTTTGATTAACTATCCACTATAGTGTAGAGTGTGATAAGACACAACCTAATACATTTGTTATCCTTTTGACATGAAATTAACCCTCTATTATGTCCAAGAATCACCAAAGTATAGCTTGACTCCAAAGGTATTGCAACCTCAATGATAATGAGAACATGTATGTATTGATGTAAAGATCTTACACTCATATTGACAAGAATATAAATAATCTAGGTAGAACTTGATTCTTTGTCAAAAAAATAGGCATTTGGTGCGGAACATGCTAACATATGCAAAGCAATAACTTTTTTCTAAAGATTCTTTATTTAAGTAGAGCAATGGTTCTCTTAACCCACCCTTCCCACCGTCGTCTAGGAACCTTGGCTGAAGTAACACTCGTGCTGCCAGTGCCATAGATCATGGCTAAATTTGCTCAACTCATCTTTAGTCAATACTGGCTCGTACTGTAGACACACACTTGTATCTTGTAACACCCTAAGAACAAACACTCTTCATACTTAGCAAAAAATTTTGTACAGATGTTTCATCAACTGGAATAATGATGGCTCTCCTTCAGGAACCTTGGCTGTAGCACTACCTCTCCTTCCACTACCCCAAACACCTCTAACTAGCTAATCTAAAGCTTTGTTTGCTCGTTTATCATGAATCTGACCCGTGACTCTAGGACTCTCTCTTGCAAAACCACCCTCTTCTACCCATGAGATTTTAAGAATCAAACTTTTTTTATCTTTTAAACTAGGACAGTCACTCCCTCAAACAGTACTCCCGCGTGCCATGACAAGATTTCTCTTGATGATCTTCCAATGCCCATTTTTGAACTTCACTTTGTGTTCTTGTTCATCCAACTACCTAAGAGCTAAAATCCAACTTTTCGTCAAGTTTTGCACAACTCTGGTATCCTTCTAAGTCTAGAAATCAAATGGTGTCTTCAGCATTATTTCACCCATGCTCATAATATTAAGAGAGCTCTATCTTCCACAAGATTTGCTTTTTCAAAGTCTCCAATAATTAGATTTTGCAATGCTTCGTTGTTGTAGGTAGCTTGGAATGAAGCATTAGAATTCATGAGCCAAGAATCCACGTTGTTACCTATGCAACACTCAAAGAGATCCTTGTTCGTGGAGCCCATAGTACATTATTTACTTTTTTATCTGTTGAACATTGATTTTTAAAATACTCTACCTTTCTTTGATTGATTCAAAGAATGATGATTCCTTAGCACTCTTTCTAACGTCCTTGCTAAGAGCAAGATTATGAATCTTCTGCAAGATGAATCCATCAGGTCTCTGAACTGGTAACTGTTGTAATGAAAGTGTGAGTACACCAAGAATGAAGGGTTTTAGAAAAGTGTGGGATTTAAGCTCGCATGGGCAGCTTGACTAGTCTCAGAGATGAAATTTGGAACAAGAGACTAATTACGAATTTGTAGTAGTGTGAGAGGAACCTCTCAAAAAATGAGGGACTTCTTATGCACAGTGAACACTAATTCCAATATCCATTGTCGATAGAGACACAATTATTTCAGCTTTTGAAATAAATGTGGGATTTGATCTCTAAAGTCTACAAAGAAGGCACGCACCATATAGCACAAAAAGTTGCTATCGGGTACCTCTAGTTTTGTGATAAGAATTATCAAGTACCTTCAATTTTAGAAACATACTTTCGAGTACCTCTAATTATTCAAAAATTTATGAAGAGGAGATTTTTTATCTATCCATCCTTTACTCCATCCATTAGTTAGTTTCATCATCATCAGCATCATCATCATATAATCATCTCTTCCTCTTTCTTCTTCTTTAATTGTTCTTTTCCACCTCCCATCGAGACCGTCCACTCTCCCCCTTTTTCTTCTATTATTACTTTTATTATAGTTCTTGCTATTATTATTATTATTATTATTATTATTATTATTATTATTATTATTATTATTATTATTAGAATTAATCACTCTTTCTGTCCTATTTTAAATTGCATGTTTTCCTTTTTCTCTGTCCCAAAATAAGCTACTTGTTTCTTGTTATCGTAAATGTTTAATAATAAAATACCTAAACTACCCATAAAATAAGTCACTCTTCTTCACCTTATCTTTTGATTCATCGTCACCTTTTCTAAAAAGTAATGACAATTTCAGAAAATCAATACTAATTTTTCTCTTTATTAAATATGCCTCAAAGTCAAAATGGATGATTTAAAACGGGACGGAGGGAGTAGTAGTTTTACTAGTTTAATTCTTAAAAAATACTAATGCCCTACCAAAAAAATTATACACCCCTATTAATCTTTCCCCAATTGGATAAAAGAAAAAACTAAAGTATTTTTAATCTTAAATTGAAAAGTCATTTTTATAATTAATTTTTGTATAATTTATAAATTTAAATTTGTTACACTGGCATCTACTTATATGTAAAATATATGGAGTACAATAATAAGATAAAATTTAACATTATATTTTTCATGAAACTACTCCGGTATCTACTTACATGTTATATTTTAATCTTATTACTACGTACTATATTATAAATTTTTATGTACTATCTCCGTTTCAAAATGATTTACACATTTACTATTTGAGTCTCTTGGTAAATTTTGTTTACTCATATATTTTCATTAATGATTTGATAACATAAAATATCTTTTTTCGCATATTTGTTATAGTACTTTTGATAGTTTTTATAAAATGTATTTGTATATTTTCTTTTTATATCAAACTATAGATAAAATCACACTTTAAAAAATATGGAATTTTATAATTTTGCAGAAATTAGCAGTACTTGGAGCACCCCCAGTGCTCCGTTTGTAAAACTGACGGTTCCTACTCACCTTAAGTCCTTAACCCACCCCCTAAACCCCCACCTTACCCTCGCCCATGCATTCCCACTCCAATCCCGCTGTAAGTCTCCTACAAAATGTGTGGCTATTATGTATTTGGCACCGTTACGTGTCACTAGAATCTCATCGATAATAATAATAATAATAATAATAGTAATAATGATAATAATAATAATTATTATAATAGTAGTAGTAGTAATAGCAATAGCAATAGTAATAATAATACTAATAATAATAATATTAATGATGATGATAATGATAATGATAATGATGATGATCATAATAATTATAATCATAAAAATAATTACAATTATAATAATTATAATAATTATAATCATAATAATAATTAATGAATTATAATAATTATAATCATAATAATCATAGTAATCATACTAATCATAGTAATCATAACAATAACAATAACAAATTAACAATAGAAGCAAAGAGAAAGGAAGGGGTAGGAGTGAGATTTGAAGAAAAAGAAGAAAAAGAAAAAGAATGAAGATGAGGATGATGATATCATATACTCCCTCCGTCGTCTGTGCTGCCGGATCTTATGTGGACGAGCTCGTCAGAACCGCTGTAAGAAGAGTTCTTACCATCGCAATTGATGCAGATCTGCTTAAATTACTCTATGTTTGTGGTTGGATATTCATGAGCATTATCTGCTTGTGTTGTGAACTTGATCACCGAAGAGCTCTTTTTAATAAAATTAAAATTGTGTGGCTGAAATTTATGATGAGTAAATGGAATTAGTATGAACCACACAATTTTGGAAGAAATGAAAAGTTAAAGGAACATTTTCGTGTGACAAAGGGAGTAGATGTTGAAACGTAAGTAGGATTTGTTCTCTTTCATTTCTTGTTAATTTGTGCTCAAAGCTGGCATTCAAAGCTTCTCTAAGAGTAATGTTGCAATGATTTGGGTAAAATGCTTATGTCATGTTTGACAGCTGAATTCTATCTTTATAATGTTACTAATGGCAACCATTCTTGATCGAATCATAACGGTTTCCCATTTCCTTCATGGGGATAGAGATCTATTGCATCTCCTGGTAGGGGAATCCTTGCCATTGATGAGTCGAATGCTACATGTGTAAAGAGGCTGGCATCTATTGGTTTGGAGAACACAGAGCCTAACAGACAGACAGCTTTTGCTGACTACCCCAGGCCTTGGTGGGTACATATCTGGCTCTATCCTTTTTTGAAGATACACTTTACCAATCAACTACAGATGGGAAGAAGTTTGTGGACTTCTTGCGAGAGGAGAAGATAGTTCCCGGGATCAAGGTTGATAAGGTGGGTTCATTTTATCATGTTGGCTGGTTAATGACGTCATGGTTTGGCTTTTTTTTAAAAAATTAATTTGAACTGTTCTTGGCTTCTTGCAATATGTATTCCAATTTAAAGTCATCTGTATATGATGATGTTATAATTTATAACCATGGTCCATTTCTAACTTTATTATCTTCTTTTAGGGGTCCTTGGATCCAACAATGAATCATGGTGCCAAGGCTTAGATGGCTTAGCTTCTAGATCTGCTTAGTACTACAAGCAAGGTGCCCGTTTTGCTAAGTGGTAAGTTTTTCTTGTCTTGTGTGCCTTTTCACATTTTTTTATTTAGGTCCAAGGGGAGCTCTTACACGAGTAAACTCGAATGGCATGGTAAACATACAAATTTTTTTGAAGAACTGTTGTGAGTTTACCTTGTGGTCTGTTACAGCTGAAAAGCTGTACAGCTCTCTCTAATGGAGTTTAACAGGGGTGAAGATATTTGAGAGGGAGGGAAGAGAAGATATTTCGAGAGAGAGAGAGAGAGAGAGAGAGAGAATTCAATTATTTTCCATATGTACATTACAGCCCTTACAATGTATTTATAGACATCTAAAAATGCCAGCTCATCTAACAACCATACAACAACCATTAACTGCCTAACTACCCTCTAACCACCAAGTAACAACCATATCATATCCCTTCCCTTCAACAAGACTTGACCTCAAGTCTGTAGAGTGAGTGGGAAGGTAGGGTGTTGGGATGTAAAGTCTTCAGCTGGCTCCCATGTAGCCTCCTGCCTGCTGTAACCTTGCCATTGAACCAAGTAATAAGTTTTGGCCTTATTCTGGACCTTCTTAATCTGCTTAGCCTTGTGGAACAGGTTGTTCTCCTGCCAATCTCCCTTGAAACCAGGCTGGAATGTGTACAGCTGTAGGTAGAACCCCCCTGAACGGTTTAAGCTGGGATACGTGACATACATCATGGATTTTAGAGCCAGCTGGAAGTTTCAACTTGTAAGCTACTTCGTCAATAGTGGCAGCAACTTGGAATGGCCCAAAGTACTTAGGAGAATTTATTATTGCTCCTGCTCTCCACTGGCTCTCCACTGACTGTTGCCTATAAGGTTGGAGCTTAAGCCAGACCCAATCTCCATTATTGAAGCTTCTCTCTGTCCTATGCTTATCAGCTTGGACCTTCATCCTATTCTGTGCCTCACATAACTGCAGTTTAAGTTGATTGATCACTTGCTGTCTCTTCTGCATGCTTCTGTCAACCGAGTCCACCTTGGACTCCCCTGGTAGGTAAGGAAGATATAGAGGTGGTGGTTGGCCATAGACAACCTCAAAAGGGGTGAGGTGTGTAGCAGTGTGATAATGGGTGTTATACCACCACTCAGCTAAGGGAAGCCACATGCACCAATCCCTAGGCTGCTCCCCACACATACATTTTAAGTACATTTCTAAACATCTGTTAACAACTTCAGTCTGCCCATCTGTTTGGGTATGATAGGATGATGATAGAAGAAATTCAGTGCCTTGGAGGGAGAACAATCCTTGCCAAAACTGGCTTAGGAAAACAGCATCCCTGTCACTCACATTGCTTTTAGGCCATCCATGTAGCTTGAACACCTGGTCCAAGTAGACTTGTGCCACCTCCAATGCTGTAAAGGGGTGTTTGAGGGCCATGAAGTGGCTATATTTGCTCAACCTGTCCACAACCACAAAGATCACTTCCTTACCCATGGATTTAGGTAGCCCAGTGATGAAGTCCATGGAGACATCTAGCCAAACTCCCTCTGGAATGGGAAGAGGTTGGAGTAAGCCTAGAGAAAGCCAGCCGTGACCAACGTGGCCGTGACCAACGAGGATGTTGGTCCTTAAGGAGGGGCGAATGTTATGGACTGAAACCATTGCAAGGTATGGGACTTGTCCCACATCGGTTGTATGGGCAATTGATGTGGGGTTTATAGGCCAAATGGGTTCCCTCACCTATCAGACTAGTCTTTTGGGTTGAATTCTTCCGTTTGGTCTGTAACATGGTGTCATGGTCCTTCTGCTTTGGTGGTTAAAGAAGCTGCATGGGGTCTTGCCCGCTATGCTGCTATATCTCAGGTATTTTCAAACTATCAAATGCCCCACTTTCTGCTTCATAATTTGTCTTTTTCCTCAAATCCCTAAAACATGTATTTCTCCTGAATGTTTGGAGTCAACCATTGTTGATATTGATTGGCATGTGATGTGCTCTCTGTTCATTTAAGCATGAAAGAAATGATGAATTCTGCAGGACAATGGTCTTGTACCAATAGTGCAGCCTCAGATTCTCCTTGATGGGGACCATTCCATTGAAAAAACTCTTGAGGTTGCCAAACGGGTGTGGGCAGAGGTTTTATATTATCTGGCGGAAAACAATGTTATGCTTGAAGGAATTCTGCTTAAACCTAGCATGGTTACCCCGGGCGCTCAACAACAAGAGAAGGCTTCTCCGGATACTATTGCCAAGTACACTCTCACTATGCTTAAAAGGAGAGTCCCTCCTGTTCCTGGAACCTTAGTATGACCCATCTTCTGGACATTCTAAAAATGCGTGCTTTAGCATTTAAATCTTAAGCCAGTATCAATTGTGCTTAAAATATTCTTATATGGAGCTTATAGCTTACTACACTGAAAGCATTCTTCATAAGCCCCTTGTGTGATTGTAGTGGTGGGAAAGGAAAAACATTTGAGAAGCTTCAATCTTTTTTGGAACTTCATGTAGAATGGTTTTTGTAAAGAAAAAAACTCCCTGTCCTTAGGCTATGCTTGGCACACTTACAAGTGGCTATTAGCATTTTCGAAAAGCTTTTCAAAAAAGTTGCATTTGGTTAGCACATTTATCTGATAAACTTCTCTGAGTAGCTTTTCAAATACGGAGCAAGTTACTCACATGAGCATTTTCAATTTCACTTTTGTTTTTTATTTTGAAATCATTTTGATCTTAATCTTTCATGTTGTTTTGTATGTCAAAGCTAGCATCAAATTCACCAACCACTAAGAAACCAACAGACTATTTCTAATAAACTTACCAGTCAAATAGCCTACTTATCGGTAGTCATCATCTAGCTTATCATCATTTCATTTTTCCAAACAAAGCCTCACTGCCTCAGGCACTTGTCCAATCTTTACTTATTGTGCAAAAGCTACATTTTTTCCCCTTCAAACGCCGGTCTTTTTCATTAAACGTTACCGAAAGTTCAAAAAGTATATATATATATGTATTTTTTGGTTTTCAGTTCTTGTCAGGAGGAGAATCTGAAGTGGAAGCAACACTGAACCCCAATGCGATGAACCAAACTCCAAACCCGTGGCATGTTTCCTTCTCATACGCATGTGCATTGCAAAACTCTGTCCTGAAGATGCGGCAAGGACGACCCGAGAATGCAGGAGCTGCCCAAAAAGCATGGTTGGTTCGCGCAAAAGCCAACTCCCTGGCTCAGCTCTAAGAAAGGAATGTTTGTCAAGGGTTACACACCTACTAAGTACTGAATCTATGCTAGTGTACACTCACTCTCTCTGATACTTAATTAGGTTATTTGCAAATGTTATAGTAATTTGACAACCTATCCTTGTCTGAATCTGTCTAGAGATGAAAAAGGTTAATAAGCTTCTCCAATGGCGTCTAGCCTTTGTAAATTGAAATAAGATATTACTACCTCCGTTCCAGATTATTTGTCCACTTTCATTTTTACACACTATCCAATACAATTCTTTAATCCATTTTATCTTGTAATTTGTACATTAAAAAAATTAAAGAAATTATATATTAATAATCTATATGTTAAGACAAATCTAAGAAGATCACACATGACTATATTTAGGCTTACACATTGAGAGGATTTGATGAGTCAAAGTGCGAACAGTTCCAAAAATCAAATGTGGACGAATACTCCGGGACGGATGGAGTAATTAAGATCATTTGGGCTTGGCTTAGCCAGAAAGGGTCCGTGGCTTTCTCCCACTTAAAAACCATCATTTTTATCTTCATCTTCTTCTATAAATCCACATTTTATTCATAGCATTTTGGGCTTAGTAATGGTGTTAGACATCTAGAAATAAAGTGGCATGCTCACTAGTCATATTTTCTTCAATTTATTTGTATTACTAATTACTTTTTTTTAAATTAAAATTAGTTCAGATTGGATCGGAATCAACTTTAAATAAGAACTTATTTCAATCAGATCAAAACTATATAATTCAGATCAGTTGAAAAGTACATGACCTAAATAAGAATCATCTCAAATGTGTATGGCACACATTATATTTTCCAAACTTTAATGTTGTGCTTCGTCTAAATTATTTTATTCCGTATATGATTTCTCAATGTTACATTATTTGATGTGGAGAAAAACATAAATTAATCGACCCCAACCTCAATCCACATTTATTTTCTGTTTTTTCTTTGATTTTTTGTTTGTTTACTCGTATCTTTTACATGTTTCACTAGCACTATGTCTGGCTCAAAGATTTTCCAAAGAAAAGAAAAGAAAATGATTGTCAAAATGAAAGAAATTTGATTTTCCTTCCACTTGGTACATTTTGTCTCCTCATTTTCTTTTCCTTCCACTTTTCCTTTCTTTATCCATCTAACCAAACAAGAAAAATAATTTTCCATTTTATTTTCATTTCTTTTCCCCTTCAAACCAAATACTCTTTCTGCCCCTAAATAGATTACAATCATTTTTTCTCTTTCTTCTCGATAATTTTTGTTTGATAACGCAATTTCATAAGTATTTGATAAAATAAAATATTCTTGTCACCTCTTGTTTTGTAGAACTTTTGACGTAGTTTTTTAATATGTAATTTTTATAGATTATTGATATACCAATTTGTAAATAAAAATATTTCAAAAAGTAGAAAATTTTACTCCGTAATTCGTAATTTATAATCAAATTATGAGTATATTGTAGCTCTTTCTTGAATAGCCATTATGAGTAGATGGCTCAAAAGAAAAGTTGTTTGATACGGAGTATTTACCTAGAGTCCACAAATTTGAAAGTTTGAACGCAAAAATTATTAAGGTCTAAAAGCTAAAGCCTAGTAAGGTGCTAATGCCTGGTCTAACTCCCATAGCAAGTTTTACAAATAGTCTAAAAGTTTATGTACTGTAGTTGAGGTTGAAATTAAAGACAAATTACAATTTGATGTTGAAATAAAGAATAATCCCTTTGTCCTACAAAATCTTGTTTCGAATTTTAAGGAATTTAAGAAAACTGTATTTTGGTGTTGACTTTCCAAACACGTCCTTAGATGTAATAAGGAAAAATAGATGTAATGAGTAAATTAGTACTGAAAAAGTGTGATGTGATAAATATGTTAAGAATTAATATAAGTAAAATTGACTTTTTAACTCCCTATGTTCATAAATAATGTTCTCGTTGCGCTTTGGATGTTACATTTGACTGAACTTATTTTTAAATTATATTATATAAAAAATGGTATGAAATTAAAAAATAAAAATTACATATTTAAAAATTATATGAAAAGATCTACAAAATTATAGGTGACATGATTATACTGTATTATTTTACGCAATAGGATACGAATATAGGTCAAAAAAATGAATAAAATTTGAGCATGTGGATAGTGAACATGAACTTTACTGTTGGATGGAGGGAGTAGAAATGAGAATTTTTTTTGGGATGGATGAAAAAAGAAATGAGAAAGATTTTGTGAGTCCGAGAGACTACAAATTATATATTTAAAAACAACCACAAAACAAGAAGCTAGATAATAATCTCAAATGATCAATGGGGTATGTTTTCATCACTAAATATTGAGATTTATAAATAAAAGCACTTGATGGGTGTCCTAGAAATAGATTAAACTTTATGCACGCTTACACACGGATTAATCCAAACCTTAAGCACGGTCTTAAACACAATCAAAGCTAGAGA